ATTAGCGGGGTTATCAATCAGCCTTCCTAGAAAATTACAGCTAGCAAAATGACTCCACATTGTCGTGTATGCTTGGTTGTATCCAGTTTTTTCTCTTTATAGTGTTTATCCACAACTTTTTCCTTCTTTATGGAAAAACTGGGATTCTATAGAAGCCAAGTTCCTTGTTTTCTCCTTGCCTGTTTTGGCACCCAACAGCACTACAGCTCACTACCATTTTGCTTTTTGCCAACCAGTGGGTGTGTCTGGCCACGTGTAAGCCAATGTTTTGCCGACTTCAAAGAAGTGTTACCTAACGCGCGGGTGGTCTATACAGTTGGAGGGTCAGTTTAAAGAACAGCGTCCAATGCCTATACACTTCCAAGTGAGTATGCTCCTATTATATGCTAATAACATCAACTTATGGTTTGTATACAGACAGTGTTCTTGAAGCTGAGCCCAGTCTTCCTGCTCTTAATAATTTGGTGGGTGCAAAGATTGAAGACAAGTATCACTTGTTTGGGATTGCTGTTGGTCTAAATGAAGGCTACCTGAGAGGGCTGGACAAAGACTATCCAACATGTCAAGAAAGGTTTAATCAAGTGTTTTATGAATGGAGTCAAGTTGATCCCAATCATAGGCGGCGGAACAGGGGGGGCAGAGGGGGCTAAAGCCCCCCCAGTCTTGAAACAGGAGGGGCTGAGCCCCCCCCCAGAAATTTTCTGCAACTGACTAACAAAGAAAATAAAACTGACTTTTATCAGTAAAATTAGACCTGCATTCATCATCTCTTCATTTTATTTAAAGAAAAAGGCAAGAAAACTACTCTAAATCCAACAATAAAAGATTAGCGCCATTTTTTGTAAAATTAGCAGCCATTTTGTATAAAACCACACCCATTTTAATAACTTAATTGATGTTCAGCCCCCCCCAAAATAAATTTTGTTCCGCCGCCAATGATCCCAATACATTCAAATGGAAGACTGTCATTGAAGTATTACAATCTGATACCATCAAAGCTACTTCTGTAGCTGAACTTGTTATTGAACATTTGAGGAGCAATTAATAACACAATTAGTTTTTACAAATGAGAGCTGTCAAAAAATGTATTGTACACGTAGATAGCTGCTGCAGTTTTCTATTAGCATTATTTTTTTTATTTTTTGATATTCTAATTATCAATCTATTTTAGTTCTATTTACATGTAGCTCTAGCTCTCATCACATATACTACAAACATACACTGCTCTCAGCGCTCGCAGACTATGTGATCACAGCACAGACTATGCCCATATGCAGACTATATGATCACACCCACTAGATCTAATTAGCAATTAGCTAATTACCATGCCAGGCCCCACATTATTAGTATACACTTCCTTTTTGTGGTTTTGCAATGTTTTGCGAAGTCCATGTAGCAATACAAGCACCGTATAGTCAGTAGTTCAGGATCATGGGTAAGTCAATTCAATAGTAAATATACTCTATTATGTTTATATTGTAGAGTTACTTCTAAGAGTGTCTTTCCTGTTATTATTATTATACCCAGT